CTGTTACTGCTTCCAGTGCCTCTGGTATGGGCATATCCTTGGATTTCCTCAGTAACCAGGACCTATCCTTGATCTTTCCATCTCTTTGAAGCTGATCCAGCCTACTAAACTCTTATGTGTTGCATTTAGCTTGAGTTCCAGTCTTAGTCTCCATGGTGGGCATGGCTTCTCTCTCAGGCTAATCTTGTAGTCAAGCATTTGGAGGTCCACCAATGTCGTGGCATATATGAGCCTGTCGGTCTCTGTGATGGAGCTGTTTGGGATTGTGGACAGTGCCTCACTAATTGCAGCTAGCATACTGTTGGGTGGCAGTTTACTAGTGAGCTTTGGTAGTCTTGTCCATTAGTTTGTTCCAGTAGCCTCCTTGTCATCAGATTGCTTTGATTCCCAAACACCTGATGCAGACTGTGTTTATATATATATATATATATATATATATATATACATATACACACACACACATAACTGGAAACTGAGTGCATATTGGACAATGTATAGGGGAGAGGACTATAGACTATGTCAATGTCACATATTATATTATATTATAAAATATTATTGACTTACAACTCTTTTTTCTTAACTGTAGCCTCGTTAATTGGTAAATGATTTTTTTCAAATTTTTTTTCTGTCCAGACAAATGTTTTGTTTTTGTTTCCATTAAATAATGTGCTATTTAGACATACTGATATGAAAAATACATTTAAAAATTACTTTCCAGGACACCCAAAATACATGTTTCTCTAAAAACCGCTGGGTTATGAAGGTATTAATGCAAATATGATTTTGAGATGTACTGTATTTTTACATGTAAAAATTTGAATAAAATCTATTTTCTAAAAACAAACACATTTTTTTAAATACTTGAACTTCATTTTAACAGGACATTTTAAACCTTACTTTGTTCTGTTGGTTAATAAAGTTATTTTAGTCAACAATTACACTTGAACAGGAAACACAAAGTGATTAATAAAAAAGGGAAGCTATGCTGTGTCAGTCTTTGTAAAGGACATCTTACAGAAGTTCACCTTATGTGTCCTGGATACTAAGATTTTTCAATTACCGCATTTGCTCCTTGTGTTTTTTAAACATTAATGCCACCTTGACTGATGGATAATCTAGAAGAATTTTTCAAGATTTTACAAGGCGGACATTGTAATCAACCACTTTCCAGCCACCACTAATGAAATGACAGTCTTTGCACTGATGCTTTAAGTAAAGAAGCTTGTATTTGAAGCTATTAAGGATGTGGGACAAGCTTTTTGAGAAATGTGTCTATCCTTCCAGTTCAGTGCACACATCCACTAACTCTGTGTAGTAAAATACGTTCTAAAGTCTAAAGTGTCTGCATGCCAGGCTCATATTAAATGTGAGGTACTTTAAGTAAGTTGTACATGATAAAAAATACAAATAAAAAAGCAAGAGAAAAACTATTTACCCCCTTGAGCTTAACTCACTAATATCTGATAAAAAAAGATAATATACCTGGTCAGGGTCATTTCTGGGTCCCAGTATAACAATTCCATTTAACATGTCAAAGTCCATAGTCAAAGTATGGTATACTAAAAGAGAGAAGAAGGAAGCTTTAAAAAAAAAAATGCAAGTCCAAAACTAAATATCTGTTCTCATTTTCACCATTCTCTTTCCATATGGACCAACTTTTGTTCTTAGTAAACAATCCCATTAGACATACTCATAATTATTATTTTTTCTTTTGTTTTACTGTCTCTACAATGCTTTTACAAAATGAGGAGTTAGCTCCAGTCTGAAGTGACCTTTTAAATTATATAAAGCATAGTAACGTGCATTTAAGCATGATAACTTACATTTACCATCTTTTTTTTTACCGTCTAATTTTCTAAACACTTAACCCCATTTTGTTATTGATCTGTAAGTAGTTTCCTTCTATAATTTTTCTACTAGAATTAATAAACTTTTTTTCATAGAATTTTATTTTATATTATCCATCTTAAGCTAGCTGGAAATTATTTTCAAAGTATTTTTAGCATAACATATTAAATTTACCCTATGCCTTTTCATTATATAAAAGCTGATAACTCATATTTATTGGCAGTGCTAATCACTTAGTAGCTATTAACATTTCTATAGTGTATCAAGTAAGTAATTATCACAATCTTCATGAATTAAACATATGAATTCATCCATGCTGTACTTGTCAAACTGAAATATGACTGAAAATGGTCCAGTTATTTTGACTTCAATATTCTGTACATATGCTTTTAAAATGTTTGCATACACATTTAAAGGCCCATATTTTTTATAAAGGACAAACATTTTCTACAGCACAGATGTCCCAATAGGTTTTTTATCTAGTCAGGTCTGGCACTACCTTAAGTTCATCTATTTTAACAAACAAATATGGGGATTCAGTTCCATCAAATGGCCATATTGTGTTAAGCCCGCCACTACTTTACAGTTCCCCAATATCGGTGGATCCTACACTAATTCAAACAAATTAAATATTACTAGTGCTAAATGAGCTAAAGTGTATTTGATAATCTGTTGTAAAAGCATTGTGAATGTGTATAATACAAAATGAATGTGATAAAAAAAAACAATAAAAAATAATACATTGTAAAATCAAAACAATTAAAGCGAGAGTGCTTTAGTTCATGTAGCACTATTTAATTTGTCTCCCACATTGGAATTAGTGTAGGACTCACTGCTATTAGGGTAGTGTGAAGTAGTGGTTGGCTTAACACAATATGGCGGAACTGAATCCTCATATTTGTTTGCTGAGATAGGTGTTTTTAAGTAGCCTTATAATGTGTAAAACAGTGTTTGTATGTGTGCGCTGTTTCTCGGTCTGGATTATGTATAAATTTTGGTCTCTATGGCAGCACCATTCCTGCAAAATGCATGTTCCAGGTGTGCCCCTATTTCCCTTTTTGTCTTAACTACCTTAAGGTGGCACAGGCACCACAGGAGGGGGTGCCATTTCTAAGAATATGTCTGTTGTGATGAACAGTGCAAGTTTGTTTTATATAATATATCAAATTATATTGAACACAAATTATTCCCTTGTGGTCGAATAGGGAGTGTATGGTCTGCACCTCCATCTGGTGCAGATCATATTAATTTCTACCTTGCAGTTTCAGCACTATGTAAGGAATCCAGCGCACAGTGGATTTGCAGCCTGCACTCTTACTCCAGCACCATAATGGAAGGAGCAATTACTAAAGTCTGCACCCGGTGGACATGCAGACCATATGATTCACCACACACCACTAGGGAATCACCATTAACCTCACCCACTGGACCATCGGGGAATTACACCCCACCCTTCTGCTGAACCCTTGCTGGTCCACCAGGAATTTAGCAACTGCAAAAAGATAATCAGGAGAGGGGCCAAAACTTTTTTTGCTGAATTATACACTCACCACACACAGCCAACACACCAATTACACACATCACACAGCCAACACACACCACACATATAATACACAGCTTGAACTACTCTTCCTGAAGTATGCTAGAAAGGGCACAATCCCTAATAGACTAGCTTAGCTGAAAATTAGTTTAACGCCCTCTAATTAGAGAGGTGTGTTATATCTGTTTTTGATGTTAATTCAAAATAACTAGTTTTCTGTCATCTATAGCATATTCTGAGTCTTTAAAACAGGAAATCTGACTTGGTTCCACTATTGCAATGAAAATACTTAGAATAACCATTAACATTTGAAAATGATCTATTTTAGCCTGCAAATGTCTTTGCTTATAAAAACATAGCCAGGGTTTTTTTTTAAAGGTGTATTCAATTTTCAAATAGTACCTCTTTAACCCATTAAGGACTGAGCAAGTTGTACAGTTGTGATCAAAACAAAACATAAACAAAAACTGGAATTTGAGCTATATGTCTGTTCAACTGTAATGCACCTTTTTCATATTAAGTGCACCCACACTTATTATGTATCATTGTGTTCAGTAGAAACAGGGCTTTAATTGTACATGAACTATTCATATATGAAATGTAATTCATTTTCAATAAAATCTAAAAAAAATTGTGAGACATTAAGATTTAAAAAAAAAAAAATGTTTAGTTCTGTGTGGCATTTTAACTGTAAATGTCTCATAATACTGTTAGGTTTTTACTGCAATAAAATGCAAATATTTGTGTTCAGTAAAGTCTCACAAGCACAACAGTACCCCCCAATGTACAGGTTTTATGGTGTTTTGGAAAGTTACAGGGTCAAATATAGCATGTTTCAGTTTTCAGTTTATAAACATTAAAATTTGCCAGATTGGTTATGTTGCCTTTGAGATCGTATGGTAGCCCAGGAAAGATAATCACCCCCATGATGGCATACCATTTGCAAAACTAGACAACCCAGGTGTTGGATAATTTCAGCTATACAAAGGAGCTACAGGATTCAGCGTCCGTTTGGCTCCGAGGTCAGGCCCCGCCCACTAAACATCTGTTTTTTTAATCAAATATACGTGCGTTATATAACATAGGATATAACAAGAAACAGCTGCTTATAACTTGTGAAAAACAATTGACGCAATTGTCCTGCCTATATACCCATCTTTTTCTCTCTCCCATCCTGCTCTGAAAAGGTTTGTATAAAAATAACTGTCATTAAATTGGTTGAATTGGTTATTGAACACGTCTCTGCTTTTCATTTCCAATTTCCAGAGCTCTGTAAGAGTTGGCAAACATCCATCAACCAAAGAGGGTCCCGCTCTAAGAGGCAAAAACATAAGAAATCTATGGAAACACGGCGATAAATCGACTTCTAAAGGCCACCTGCCGAGAGGTGACAATAAGGGGCTTAAAATGATACCTAACAAGCAACTTTCCCCATGGTACTCCCCTGTACTTCTCTGGCAGCTTGCAAGCATGGATGGCGCAGAGGCGACGGCCGCTCCTCCGCTGCCACAAACGGCTGTGAAACCCAACCCTGGCCCATGTCCCCACCTCTGGACCAACGGTCCCCAATGGGGTGATTCTACACTCACCTCTCACAGATTTGACATCCACCATGGAACAACACAAGGGCAGCAGCTCACTGCTAGCTAAAATGGCAGCCGACAACAAGCCTGCACCACTCCAGCCATCACTAGAGGAACGCCTCAGTCAGGCCTTTGAGCGCTTCTGGGAGCAACTCGAGAAAAAAACACAGTGCGGAACGCAGATACTACCCGCCGCAGCCATACCCAAGCCTGATCGGCCACACACTACAGCCACCAGAAACTCACCGGGAGAAGACTCGGAGCGGCGCCAAAAACGGAGAGGCGGAAACAGAAGCCTAGCCGCCGACTGCTGTGCCCTTCTACATGATGCTGCCACCCTGGCCCACAGCGCACCAGAGAAAACCCACTCAGAAACTGCTGCTTCCCTCGAACGGCTCCCATGCAGCATACCCGAAGGAACTCATACAAGGAGTACCAGCACATGGCCCAGGCTTTGTACCACCTCAACCTATGTGACCTCAAAACCCTGATTCTGCACTGGTGGGGTACGGTGGGGAGAGAGGGGATTCAACTTCACACAAGTCACATAGAGCCTGAATTGGGGGTGGGCTGAGGGGACAAGCGGAGCTGGGGGCTCATCTAGGCTAAACTGCTTTACTTTACGGTATTGATAAGTCAAAGCCCCCAATAAACATTCCTAAGCAATCTAGATAATTTTAAAAATGGAACCCCAGTAGTATACTTTACCTCCTATCCATTTATAAACATGTTTTGATTGACTCCCATGCATATCCTTCTATAGCATAAACCATGAGGGGTATAGGTTAAGCCTGGTGAGAGTGATATAAAGCTTAATGTGGGTGGGGATGCAGGCTGCTTTTCTGTGTCTCCTCGTTTGTACTCATGCCCAGTGGATTCTAACAAAGGATAGCTAGGGTTTCATATCTGTTCAGTATAGTTACCCTTCTCAGTTATACAAATCATATAAGCTTATCTAATTAATTGCAGAATGCTATCATTGCTATGTCATTTCTTGTCTTATTCTTGTTAATATTTTGCTATCACAAAAAAAAGTACAACATCTCTCGACTACCTATGCCAACTGTCTACTAAGATTTACTGTAGTGAACGAGTCATTGCTTACACCTGTAGTCTACTCTGCACTCAAAAATAAAGAATTAATTTAAAAAAAATAGAACAAAAAAAAAAAAACAGATGTTTACAAATACCAAAATTTTGGACAATTAACAAGAACATTTCACAATCAGTATTCTTCCCATAAATGATATTTAGAAAAATTATTCCGGGAATGTATAAGAACAAATTAACCCTTATATGAACAGCTAGAATAGATAGTAAAATGGATATTCATATCCTACAATTCCCCTCTTAGATCATATCATGATCTACCTTACGGAAAATATCCATGGGAAGCCTGCGGCAGAGAAACAAAAGGACATGCTAATCACGTCTGCGGGACTTTCATTATTTCTTCACCTTGCCGTAGGTTTTCCCTTTAAGAGGAGTTCGAGCTGTCGGTTTTCAGCTTATTCAATTATCTGTTGAATACATATTTTATGCGCATAAGTTAAATATTTCAAACAGCTGACATGTTAACCAATTTTAAACAGACTGAACATCATGTTATCTATAGCTTAAGCCTTGGGTCAATACAGGCAAAGTGTATTATTCTCAACAACAGGAATATTATTATTATTATTATTATTATTATTATTATTATTATTATTATTATAATCATTATTCACAACGTAAACGCATATAGTCAAAATGGGAATAATACCTATTCCCCCTTCTTGGACCAGGATCTAGGATTACCAGTCCACTTGGTGATCGGGAGCCAGGTTAAAAAACCCAGTGGCAAAAACTCATATTTGAGGGGAAAAGCACATCTGGAGAAACCCTGAGTGAGGGCCATGACTGTGTAGACATGTCATCCCCTCACGTTAACACCATTTGTGACTTATAAAACCTGTGAGTACATAGCTCGGGTATCGGGAGGAATTGTGAAACACTTCTTGGTTAGCTTGAAAAGGTCCAATTACATATTTAATCATTAGATAAGTTATAATCAGCTTGCAATTCTAACAATAATCCCAATCATGACCTTGCGTCCTATGTCTTCTAATCACATCCCTATTTAAACGATCCAGTCATATCTACACTTAACACATGGGAATTCATCCTTCGTACACTCAACATACATCAATGACACACATAGTACATCCATGCCTGAGTAAGCTAACACTTCCTCTCTCTCCGGCTAACTCTACAAAAATAAAAATAACAAAATACTTCAATAGTCCAGCATAGTCCAGAAAAATAGAATACGTCTTTCAAGGGTATAAAGAATCTTAAACACCATAAACTAGCTAAGGGTAGCAATATGGCTGACAACAAGACAATGTCAGCTTCCACGTAGTTCTTAATTCTTCTTTTGTTTGCTGGATGTTCACCACAATGCTCTGTGCAACACCCCAATTGTTGAAAGGGATAATACAGAACTAGTGGCATCAGTGGCGTCGCTGGGGGGTGGGGCAGAGGGGGCCATGGCCCCCCTACATCATGCTGTGCCCCCCTTTGGGCCCCCCCAAATGCCAGCAACTTGCTAGCCATGGGCTTACCTTGGGCTGTAACAGCCTGTTACAGCCTGAAGGAATGCAGGAGAGAGGTGCTGGGGGCTGTCTGTGGCTGGAGGGAGCACTGATTGGCTCCCTGGCACAGGCCCCACCCCCAAATGAAGCCCCACCTCCTGCAGATAAGCCCCACCCCCGCCATAAAGCAGCAGACCATGCTGCTGCAGAAGATGGCTGCCTGACCCCAGCAACAGACTCCAGTGACAGGTAGGCCTGGGTGGGGTGGGTGTTCACACACTCTACACACACATTGCCCCCCATACACACACACTGCCCCCATGCACACACACACACTGCCCCCCATACTGCCCCCATACACAATACTGCCCCATATACACACACATTGCCCACACTGCCCCATACACACACACTGCCCCCCATACTACACACATTACACACACATTGACACACATTGCCCCACACACACTGCTCCCATACACACACACTGCCCCCATACTGCCCCATACACACACTGCCCCCCCATACACACACCATACTGCCCCATACACACACTGCCCCCATACACACATTGCCCTCAATATACACACTGCCCCCATACACACACACACTGCTCCCCATCTCATACACACACACCCCCCCCTGTGTGTATGTGTATGGCGCAGTCTGTGTGTGTGTGTGTGTGTGTATGGACTCAGCAGTCTGTGTGTGTGTGTGTGTGTGTGTATTTAGATGTGTATGGACTCGGCAGTCTGTGTGTGTGTGTGTATGGACTCAGCAGTCTGTATGGTGTGTGGACTCAGCAGTCTGTGTGTGTGTATGCACTCAGCAGTCTGTGTGTGTGTGTGTGTGTGTGTGTGTATGGACTCAGCAGTCTGTGTGTGCATGACTCAGCAGTCTGTGTGTGTATGTGTGTGTATAGACTGTTTGTGTGTGTATGGACTCAGTCTGTGTGTGTGTGTGTATGGACTCAGCAGTTTGTGTGTGTGTGTTTATGGACTCAGCAATCTGTGTGTGTGTGTGTGTATATGGACTCAGCAGTGTGTGTGTATGGACTCAGCAGTGTGTGTGTGTATGGACTCAGCAGTGTGTGTGGACTCAGCAGTCTGTGTGTGTGTGTGTGTGTATGGACTCAGCAGTGTGTGTGTGTATGGACTCAGCAGTGTGTGTGTGTGTGTGTGTATGGACTCAGCAGTCTGTCCGTGGACTCAGCAGTCTGTGTGTGTGTATGGACTCCGCAGTCTATCAATAATTAAAATTCCTGTGAGTTGTTGTGTAGGAAGGGCCCCAGTGCATTGCTTTGCCCAGGGGCCCTTAACTCTGTTAAAATGGTACTGCTTGTCAGTACACTGTCAGTGAGCTTCTATTTAGTGAGCATGTGTGTGTCAGTGAGCTTGTCTTTAGTGAGCTTGTGTTTGTCCCTGAACTTCTTTGTAGTGAGCCTTCTGTTTATACAAGTGAGTGTCTGTAGTAAGCTTGTGTGTGAGTCAGAGAGTTTTGTCTGTCAGTAAGCCTATTTGCGCATGTCAGTGAGCTTGTGTGCTTACTGTACTATATATATATATATATATATATATATATTGACTTGTAGGAATGGCATACATTTTTTTTCCAGGGCTGCTTTGGATTCCCAGGGATTCCCAGTTTGGCTCTGCCAGCGAGTGCACTTTACCGCTGAATCATCTGTGTGAGCTGCCGCACACTTTAGCCCTGTTACACGCGTCTGGGAGCTGCTGTTGACAGGTACTAGTAGTCTAGAGATTGGGACATGGGGTATATGCTCAGCTATCTGTATAATACAGATCTGTGTGTATATAATATCCGGGATAGTCAGTGCTTCCTGTATAGTGCTGCTCTCTGTATAATACAGGCCTGTGCCTGTATAATATCCCGGGACAGTCAGTGCTCCCTGTATAGTGCTGCTCTCTGTCTTGGGATATTATACACAAACAGACCTGTAATATACAGAGAGCAGCACTATACAGGGAGCACTGAGTGTCCCAATTTATTATACACACAACCCTGTATTATACAGAGAGCACTGACTGTCCAGGGATATTATACCCAGACAGTAATTGATAGCTGTGCTGCAAAATGTCCTTGGAATTTTTTTTTCAAATGTTGGCAACTATGGCACTGTATCAAGGGTAATGTGTTTTTTTTTTTTTATAATCCCTGGTGGAAAATAATGAATCCTCCACCAGGGATTATTAAAAAAACAAAACACATTGTGTTGGGGGCGGGGCTTAACATGCAACAGGGGCGGGGTCAAACTGCGGTGAGGGCGGGGTTAAATGTGCCCCCCTACTTTGTCCCTGGCCTTCCATGTGCCCCCCCTAAAAATGAATCCTAGAGACGCCACTGAGCGGCATTAGACAGCACTGCACCTTCAGGACTTTCCAAGTTAGTTTATGTCCTCATAAGTAAGCATCTCAGTTTCTTCGGCCTGCATGGATTTTGCCCAAACAAATTTAATTGCAAAATAGGTAGGTAGGTAGGTAGGTAGGTAGGTAAGTCAGCCAGAGAGATTGGTGTGTAGTCCCAAATATCAGGCGGCACAAATACTCTAGTATGGTCTCTATAATCATGAAAAACACAAGGATCAGTACAACATCAATAAATTAATTATTTAGGCTAAGCTCAAATTAGAGACTAAAGTTAAACCCTTAACTAGTGTAACATGTACTTCTCTCAGTTTTGCTTCTAATTCATTGAATTTGTCCTTTAGAAAATGTTACATAATTCCCTTTAGAATGCCTCTGTACGGATGAGAGAAGCACTCACTCTATATAAATGTTAGTTAACAGGATGGGTACTAAAACACTAACATATAAATATGGGAATAATTCCCAATAAAATACTGTTCTTAAACTTAAACCTTGATTTGATTACTTTAATAGAATTGGAATGCTGAAGTC